ATTCGCCTGTTTCGCAACTGTTTCGATTACTACTAGTTAAATCCGATCGGCGATTAGGTCCTGCCACTGCTGTCAGACTTCAGTGCGGCGAGCGAGCATGGGCCCATGGGGCTGTCTTTACTGAATCGGAGAGCACTCTGAGCACCCTGACGCAACGAGGATTGGGCAACTTGGCCAGGGACCTGGCTGGGTGAAGGAGAGATGTTGAGTCTGAGAGATGCCGGCAGCCCACCTTGTGTGCACCGCCCCCCGGCACCCGAGTTTGCCGGACCCGTGACGCCGCGTGACTGACCGCCCTCGTCCTTTGCTCGTCTTGCCACCACACCCAAACCACGCCGCTGCGATTCTGCTTCTCTTCCTCCGCGCTCCGACCTGATGTTCCTCTTGAAAATCTCATCGCTTTCAGCCCGTTCGTGCCGTGCTCACTGCTCAAAGTTGACCTTTCGGCGACGAGAAATCGCATGAAGTGGCTCTCTCCATTTTCTCCCGGGCTACGGCATCATGCGTGTCAGAATTTACACCGAATCTCTGGGCCTTACATCTGCTTCTATCTGGGACTTGATATAATCCCAATCCCAACTCCATGAATTGATTTTCAATCTGATGCGATGCTAGGAGCATGAGGCTTTTCGCAGCGAGCAGACGTGGCTGGAAGAGCTTTCTATGCAACTTGTTATTCCCCTGTTACGGACGTAACATCATGCCTCTCGTCTCGCTTTCCTTGCTCACACACACGCATCGCGATCCCTACCGCTGCGCTTGGGCCTGTGGGATTGATCCTCCGGCGCTTCCTCTGCGAGTAAAAAATTATCGCTCTGGAAAACGGCTACGCTACAAGATGCAAAATAAACGGCTACGCTACAAGATGAAAATATGCAGCTGGGAGCAATGTCAAAGCACTGGGCGAAAAGCATGAGGTACCGGCCATGCGCGGCGTTCAAGGCTGACTTATAAGCTCTCGGGCCAGTCGGGCGTCTCAGCTCAGTAGCGAAATATGCTCCACCGCAGTCCGCGTTGAACGGTATATCGCCACAGGTCAGTCCCTAGCGCCGTGACCTGTTATTCCTATGTCTACTCTGCGCCCCTTTCTCTGTGGTGTGAATCTCCTCCTCATCATTCAGCTGACGCAATGAATATTATAGGACGCCGTAGATGCCCGGCCGGTACTGTCATCTTGAAGATCATACACATATACACTCTAATAAGCTCCAATAAGCGACTCGGCAGATGTCTAATTGCTGATGGGTGTCGGAGATGCGATTAGTATACGCCGACAAGACGCGAGACCCATTGCTTTTTTCACCGCTGTCTACCACCTTCATTTGACCTCACTCTCCCTGGCCGCTGGGGCTTCCTATGTTACGCCTGGCAACGCTCTTGTGAGCTCTACTCCATTGTGGCCACTTCCTTCTATTGAACTACCTCCCAGGATCTCGGCTGGCTTGGTACTGGGAAAATTGAGCGTTCTCGATGTGCATGGTACTTTCTATGCCGGCGACAAACTTACCGTGGATTGGACGAGCAATGCGGCCGACGAGTGCGTTCTTAGTTGTTTGCTCATCAGGATCCCGTCTCATCCGCGCAGCCCGACCCAGTTTAATCTCGTCTTATACAGCCAGACTTTTGTGCGTCCTTTTTCCTTGTTGCCGCGGCGCCGGTACACGACACTCACTCTATGCTAGAATTCCAACACCTTCCTCGCGAGGAATGTGAACCGGTTGGCCGACCAGCTCACCGTCCAGCTCCCTGTTTTACCACCCAGGCGAGTCCCATCACTACTCAGTGTATAAACTCGACCAGAATCAACGGTCCACAGCGATGATTACATCGTCTGGCTTGAGAACGTCGCAGACTCTACGGACGTCTATGGCAACAGCAACCTGATCACGATCGTCGATTCTCCGACGACCACGCCGGCCACCACCTCCACACCCGTTGCCACACAGGCTCAAGCCACGACAGCTGTAGTTACCGTGGTGACCACGAGCGTAGACGTGGAACACCCATCGTGCGTGTCTTATTTCTGTTACCGTCTTACTCCGTACATTCTGACGACCTGTGAAGGACACCAACGACGCCACCAAAGACGACGGCTTTCACGTCTTCCTCGAAAGGCTTTACGACCTCTATACGTGCTTCCTCACCGGCGCTGTCATCTAACTCAGCCCCGGGCTCCACTGTCGGCGGCATCGACACTCCAATCATCAACAGCTCTCCTTCGACGCCGAGCGTTTCCTCCAGCACCGCACCGCAAAGCTTCCAAACACATGTAGCGGCACAAGTATCAAGGTATGCACATGTTATACATCGTTTTGCCTCTCAAAGCTGAGTCACGACACAGCAAGAGGATGCCCGCGGGCTCCGTCGCCGGAATCGTGATAGGAGTCATGTTTATTCTCCTCGCCTCGCTCTTGACATGGCTGTACATGCGACACACTCGCCGGAAACGTCCTCTTGACGGCGCCACCCAGCCCTATCCGCATGCCGAATCTGAACGACGACTTCCCGAGCTCGTCACCGTGCGACGAGAAAAGAGTCTCGGTCACGCCGGTGCCCTTCAAATTTCGCAGGAAGCTCCTGGCATGGCGCAGCTCCGCGCGATGCAAGCTCAACTGCATCTTATCCCCGCAAACACCGGCGACAGCGAGGCGGACGCGGACTTGGTACGGCAGAACGAAGCGTTGCGTACACGCATTCAAGAGCTGGAGTCACAAACGTCAGGGTCATCGTACGAGGCCGACGAGTCTCCACCGCCCGCGTATTTGGATCAGCGCCGGGATTAATCATATTCGTCCCTTCTGTCAGTCGTTACTCTGTTTATACTTACGGCGCAGGTAAGTTTATACTGCGCCGGTACCAAGCTGCGGCACTCAACGATGTCTTAAGCAATTCCCTCGCATTTCGAGCCTACATCTGAATCCAGCTCCACCATTGATTCCTCGGGCGACTCGGGTCCTGGCGAGAACGACGGAAATTAAACGCTCAATTAAAGTATGATTCTTTGAACCCTTTTGCTCCCCCCCTCTCTTGCTTTAACGCCATTTCAACTTTTCTGACAACAAAGCCGACCAACGCAACTTGTTCTATGCTCCAGTCATGTCAGCCTAGGGAGATTGTGAATTTCCCTAAGAAATTCAAAGCCAGGGTAGGTGCTGTTCAACGGAAGCGCCTCAACCCTAAAAGTAATGGCCCGAGTAAAGAAGTTGCCGGCTGTTGATTCCAACCGACGCTTCTTGAATTTGAGGGCTTCTTGGATAATCTGTATAAATGCTGGGCTCAGCGATTCAACCTTTGACGTGGCAGCTTGCGCCCTCTCACAATGCTACTTGTAATCTGGGTCCTCTTCACTGCCTCTGCTGTCCGGGGGCATCCGTATCTGGTGCGCTCGCTGAATAGGCCCTTGCGTTCCTGACAGTCTTCTTTGCCCAGGGACAAAGCGCCACAACTCCTCAGGTGTACGATGCTTGTGTTAACCCAAACGACATTGCTCTTACATTTGTGTGTATCTTGCCTTACATTCCTTGAGATTCGCTCATCACATGCGCACAGGATGATGGTATTCTTCGACTTGCGACTCCTATTTGTCTCAACCAATCACACCATGTTCAGGGCCATATATATACCTTCGCGACATCTCCGCCCAGTTTACCGCCGCTGGTGCTAAAGCGACCTTCTTCATGAACGGCAACAACTGGGGCTGTATTTACGATCGTGTCGCAGATGTTCAGTACGCGTATGCAGCCGGACACATGATAGGAAGGTGAGTGCACCGCACATTTTTAGATCGCACGCCTAGAGATGAGAGATTATCTAGCCACACCTGGTCGCACGCGGATCTCTCAAACCGTACGCCGGAACAGATCCAGGACGCCATGTTCCGCATGGAAGAAGCGCTCTCCCGAATTCTCGGTATCAAACCTGCCTTCATGCGGCCACCGTACGGCAGCTACGACAACAACATCCAGTCGATCGCAGCTGGGCGCGGCCAGAGTCTTGCTTTGTGGGACTGGGACACCGGCGATGCTGATGGTAATACAACCACTCAGTCAGAGGGGGTCTATAGTAGTGTTGTTAACTCGAACGCTTCGAATGCCTTGATTTTGGAGCACGAGACCAAGGGTGAGTGACCATGTTTATGTTCGCGATATTCCTTTCTGATCGCATTCTCATCCAGACACGACAAACAGCACTCTCGTTCCGTTCGCCCTCAAATTATTCCAGGATAATGGGTACAAAGTGAGTCCATCTACTGCTGAAAAAAAAACTGGCTCTTTGTAACACAATTTTCAGCTGGTCACTATGGCTGAGTGTCTCGGAGTCAACCCATACCAGGCCGTTGGAGTAAACCAGACGCCATCCGTGAGCTAAATGTCACGGAAAGCAACCATTGTCCTGATCACTCTACAGACTGCCTGGACCTGCGACGGCACGCCTGGCCCCGGTAAAGTCTGTGGCGGTTCGATCGCATGTGAAACCGGCACCCCTGTTTTCTCGTCGACTACATCCTCAGGACCGACCGCAGCTCCAACGCCGAGCCCGTAAATTCGTTACATCCAAGCCGCCCAAGATGATGTTCATTTTCCCAAGTGACTGAATTTCTTCCAGATGGACGCTGTCTTGTCGTTATAAATAATGTTTTGAAATTTTGTTGAAATTCACTTTTTACCCCCGTGTCTGGGAGGCGTAGGGCAGGAACGCGACCGACCTTTTTGTGTTCTACGCACGTGTTCCACGCAATGTAATCTCAAGCGATTCTGTAACGGAAAATATATCTGCACGGCGATGAGTTCGATTCGTACAACGTATAACATCATTACATAAATATACGATGGCGATACCGACGCAAGCTCCTTTGAGCTTGAGCTGTACTCGTTGAAATTGGCGTGCGTTTAGAGACCTGCGCGATAGCATGCAAGAGAGAGGAGTTTACAGCACCTGGAGTAGTCGGTTGGCCCTGGTCCCTAGTAATTGAAACACAAGGCTGTCACCGTGTGGCACGCGGTTGCGTAGTGTAGCGGTTATCACTTCAGATTCTGATACAGACCCGTAGGCTGTTCTCTTTCTGGCGACCCCGGTTCGATTCCGGGCGCGACCTTTCACGCCCCCACGGCTCCATCCCTTTCCATCGCCATGTGTTTCCGTGGACCATCTTTTTTTTCTTTGCGCGTCGCCAGTCAAGTGTTGTTACAATGCCGCAAACGAGTTCAGCTAAAATCCCTCTCGAGAAGTTCCAAGTCCTTAGACACGAATTCTTCCGTGCGGAACTAACAGAATATTTCCCGGGCTGGCGGGATCGGACGATTTAATTTGCTTCGGAAAACAGCAGATACACAAAGATGCGCTCGGTTCCACCCGATTATTTGGTGTTGCTTGGTGATCATGTCGCGTCACCCATGTCACGAGTTGATGATTGATCTCACTTCAGTTTCGCTCTCCCACTCGGCTCTCGCCATCCGGCGTCCGCAGAACGGACCTCAAAGATATTATGACGCACTTGACGCGCACGAGTGGTCCTCGATACCACAGAGTAGCAACGACAGCAGCTGGTCCGACTTTGGTCCGACTCGCTCGGTGCGTTACGTGCGCACCACTGCTCCCTCGCCTTACATTGTACAAGCTACAAAGTTTGCCAAAAGTTTGCCTGCCGCCAATGGCCGCCATGCGGCGCAGGCTAAACGGAGTTGACATTGCGGAGAGTGACGCGCTCAGGACGCTCGTCAAGGCAAAGGATACACGACGCGGGCGTGTGAAGGTGATGGATGTGACGGCGGTGCGCTCTTGCTTCTAAGTTCATCGTCTCCTCATAGCGTCGGTCTGCCGACTCATTGGTTCTCCAGCTGACCTACGAGCATACTAGGGATACGAGAAAATCCACCGCCTCATTGGAGCACCCGACTCTACTTTCCCAGATCTTGCGTGCACGACCCTGACCCCTCGTATAGAGAGCCCTCAGCTGGGCTGACATTCATGTGAAGTAAGTCCGCGATATACCCCCGCAACTCACACCATTCACGACTTCGATTTCTCTCAAATTTATAGAAACCCTTTGCGATTACGATCTCCCGCGACCTTTAACCATAATCTTGCCTGCTCCGCCTGTAAAATGCGACGGACGAACTGTTGGCAGTCCCTTCCTCCTTGGATTCTGTATCACTTGTCGACCCATTCGGGATCAAGCTCATGCCGTCCAGCCGTGGCCTTTAACTTGTATACCTCCACGGCGACACGACGGTATATTGGCTTAAGGCGGCGCTCTTGGACTGATTGAATGTTACTCCATTCTTTGCAACAGAACTATCTCAAACATGCTTTGATCATTCTCATGGTACGCAACCCACATATATAACTCTCCCCTGCATATCATAGGATCCCACCCCCGCACGCTGCGGCACGCATCCCATGCCTTCCTCCACCATTGAGAAACGCTTCATAGTCATTGGCATTCACAAGGTGCCGGCTCATTCGTCGTTGGATGAGTTCAGGGCAAAAATTACGAGTACTTATGTAATAAGTAATCGTCCATTTCACAACTTTCTATATGAGGATTTTGAGACCACCGCGAATGTCAGTCCCTCCATAACGATCTAACCTTTTTAGTGGCTGTGTTGAATGCCTTTCCAGATTTTCATTAGCTTTTCGATGTGACGAAATAGTGGCTATGTTGCTGCATCGGTAATCCTCTTTTTTTAACGCGAACGTTCGATTCCGGGCACTGACTTGTCTTTTCTGAATTTTTAACATGGCACCCCCCGTGTTCTTTTGGGCCCCCAGTCACTTCAAAATAGTTGCCTTGCGCTTTTTCGACATCACGGTCTCTCTGAAAAGTTGGGCAACATTAAATGTTGACGCTCCCACTGGTGTTACTTCATAGTGGTGGGAAAGTTCGGTTCGGTCTTTCGGTTCGAACTCGAACTGAACCAAACTGAACGCGGAAGTTCAGGTTCAGGTTCAACGAAATGCTGAACCTGAACCGAAAGTTCGGTTCAGCGTTCGGGCGGAGATTTTTTTTGTTGAACCGAACCGAACCTTGAACCTGAAGACCCCACAAATTTGTGGTTTCAGCAGCTTTTCCCCCATATTTTGCGTGAGTCTAAGGGTTGCTCTGTCAAGCATCATCCCAGAACACTTTCTGGCTGCCTCTGTACTCACCAGCAATGTGTGTTGAGTTTTTGTCGCGAATTGATTGGACCTTGATGGCACATCATTTCAACATTAATTCTGGTTTGTGTTGGTGCGCATCCAATTTTGGTCTTGTAAGCTTAAAAGAAGGTTGAGAGTGGCAATCTGCATAGTTAGAGACCTCTCCGCACAGATTGAATATAATTTGAGGAGGATTTTGCCCGGGAAAAATTTGGACAAAATTACCGGTTCGAACTAGTTCGAACGCGTTCGAACCCCCAAACCGAACCGCAGGTTCGGGGTTCAGCAAATCCCTGAACCTGAACCGAAGTTCAGGTTCGGCTTTGTCAAGTCGGTGGCGGAGAGAGCTGTCCTCCGTTACTTCAGTCTTGCCACGGGCTGGCGCAAGGTGAATTTGTTGCAGTCTTAGTTTGAGCGCTATTGACGCAACACTACAGAAATCTCGCGTCGATATCTCTCACAGTGTCGACTTCATTCGCAGATCAATAACTCTGGTCCACGAAGATACTACCCTCTGTCCTGGGATAATTGTTCTTCGCATATGCCGCGCGCAGTTTGTGGAGGAATCAATATACAGGCAAAAATTGACCGGCATGTTTGTCACCATGTCTGGAGCCGTCATCACCGTGCCATACGCCGATCTCGCGTTCCGCTCACTGTCACTTGTCAATCACGAATATGTGGATCTCGACTCTCAAGACGATTTGGATGCTGCGAAGCTGCTATGCGACAACGCTCGACACAGCGGGTTTACGGTCGTTGGTTATCATTCGTCGACGGATGGGGAGTGCGGGACGGATTTGACCTGTCCCGCGATTGTTCGAACGTCTATTGACCAATCATCCTTCTCCGCTGTGTTTGCCAGCAGGGAATGGGGAAATGTGGGTCACTCGAAGCGTAGTGGTACAGGAGTCGTATGGAGCCTCGGGGCAAAGGGGTGTGCGCCCCATGGCCCGTCGCATACGTCCTTTGTTTCACAAATGGATGTTGTTTGGCCTCGGGTGCGTTTGGGTGAGTGGTCAGTCTGTATACGGTGGCTTGAGCTGAGTGTTCACAGAGCGAGATTTTCTTGATGCTTTGAGCGGGGTTATCAACAGTGTGTAGCATTCTTTTATTAATGTGCGGTGTCGCAACTACCGACCATGTACGGGTGGTCTTGATGCCTTAAGTGTGTTTGTCAACAGTGTGTAGCATTCTTTCATTACTACATAATGGCAGTGCCAATCAATTTGTGCAACGACATACTGATCTTGTACTGACTGTACGTGGACTGTAACAAACATAAGTGCGAGTTTCTGCCGGGCAACGCCACGGCCCCACACCCCAAGTGGAGACATTCGCGGATGCCTTCATCGCGCTCCCCGCTGCGCAGAAACACTGTCTCAAGTACGATTTGGTATGTCGCGCATAAACATGCGGTGTATTCCCGTTGATATATAATGCGACCCTAGATCGTTCCTAACGACAAGTTGGATGATCACACTGCAGCCCGAGGATTCCTTCCTCCGCAACCCCTTATTCTGGTCGTATTGGAGTGCAAGGTGCATGTCAGTCCAAGTGACTGAAGGATTTGGGACTGATCGGCTTCGGTTGCCAGACAAAAGAGCATTGCGCTGAGGTTCGTGCATCTTCTTTCGCCGCCGTTTAGTTGCCGACGGCCGCAGCTCTTAAGGGATGGGGAAGTGGCGAGATCTCTCTCCGATGCAGCGGAATTCGGAGAGATGTCGATGTTTTCTACTGACGAGCAGATCCGAATTGACTCGGGCCCTGTTTTGGGGGCCGCGATCTGGGTCGGCATTTACAGCCGCCCTTCCGGTCTGCCCACTGCGCAATTCCGCAAGAAGGTGGAAGAGATCGAGGACATGTTCGTCGCTTTTCCGATCACCAAGACAAACGTCCTCAAGCACGTAGTGGTGTGTCACATACGCGAACCCTTCGTCCTGCCAGCAAATCTTCACATCCCAGTTATTCCAAAATGATGCCATGGCGAACGAGTTGCAGCCGCTGAGCACGTCTGTTACGAAGTCCATCGCGATCGTCATGGACCATGTGGTATGTGTGTCCTTTCACACCCCTTTCACCACTTGATGGTCGAGCTGATTCATCTAATTAGCCGGCTGGGAAAATGAGGGAGGTATGTGGTTTGAATATCCTACTCGTAGCAGCGCCGACTGATCCTCGCAGATGGCAGAATATGATGGATTCAAGCAGATCTCATCCGAGATGAGAAAGGCAGACCTCAGCGCTACTTTCAACTGCTTCGGGGCAGATATCTTCACGAAGTTCGAAAAGAACTGACTTACTTTACTGGCCTGGTTGTCCTCTTTGACGGGTCGAAACTCGTTGTACTTGATATCCCATGAGCTCCGATCAACTTATCATAACCTAAATCTCCCAGTGTGTTGGTTGCATTTATCCCTGAAGTCCGGAAAACCTTGGCATGCACCCTCAGATGCGATTTTCCATGCGAAGTTGATTATTCAGATTTCTGGTCAGAGGCCTGGAATAGTCGTGGTTGAAGGCTCCTATGGTGCATCGGGCCGCCGCACAAAAGCTGAGCATCCGCAATGTACACGGAAGAAACGTAAAAGCTCTCAACACAATATCTCATGGATCCTCCTGAGGCTCCGCTATGGTCGTCGCTGTCCTTGCAAATCTGATTGAATCGAAGTCCATCGTCAAGGAATCCATCCCATCGCTCGCTGCCTCGTAAAGGTGGAGCATCAATCTCGAAAGTAGAGCCATGGAAAGGCTGAGGATTATGTGTGTCAAGGCATAGCCGCGGTATCATTGAATCTTACCTGGTTGAAAACCAGGACACAAACCCCGAAAGTAGTACCTGTGAAACGTCAGCTCGCCCTGAGTATTCACAATCAAGGACGTACATCGCCGAGCTGCAGATATAAATTGGGAATTGGGTCAATACGCGAGTCAAGCAAGAAGAGTTCGCACATA